CTGGCCTTTGTGGTCAGGATTAAATTGAAAAGTCAAAGTTTCTGAAATAACATCATAAGAGAACTAAGTTTATTCCTGAGGCCCCTATGGTATGAGAGTCATTTATCATACAGACACATAGAAGACACATAGCTCCTCCAGCTTTCTATTCATACTCATCATTCAACATGTGGCTTTAGGTTTTGCCTACCACACCTCCCTAAATCTGTACTGAAGGGAGACTGACTAATTCCCTCCAGGGCTTTTTGTGGGTGCTCCTCATCTTAAAGAATGTTTTACAAATAGTTGGTGTATTTAATGAGGCACTAATAGGTTGCAGTAGGAGTCTGCTATCCTCTACCTGCTTCAACCATTAGAGCTGGGTAAGCAGGCACCTGTTAACAGCAAAAAAGGAAAAAAAAAAAAAGGCTTATGTCTAATTAGGGGTTCTGTGAGAGAACAAATATTAGATTTCAGGTCCAAATGCTTTACATCCACCCCTCCTTCCATGTTGTCATCTTTTCCCAGTTCTTCATAAGTCGTAGCTTCGTTTTAATAAAAGTTTTATTTTCGGAAGAGGCAAACCCAATCTATTTATGTCCCAAGACATGAAAAAAATCTAAGAAACTTATCTGCAAATTTTTGAGTTTAACTGACTTCAGTGTGACAGAACTTCAAAGTGCTAAACACCTGGAAATTACATATTAAAATACAAACCAGAAGGCCATTTAAAATAAGTCCTATTCAATGCTCACTGTCCAATTCATTCAGTGCTAAGTATTAAGCTGTTAATGCCTGTTTTGCATATATCTGTGAAGAATCAAGTCTTTCAGAAACATGAATGGTATGACACTAAGTAATTCAAAGGATTCACAATCTAATTGCACAATAGTAGGTATCATAGCCTTGTAATTTATCTTAAAGAGATCAGAAGATACAAAGAAAAAGAATAAAGATTACATCCAGCCTTTGCAGAGAGTCATGGTTTGTTGGGATTTTTTTTACTTTCTAAAATAACATATAAAACCTTCAGCTGGGATCTGTCCCAGCTTGATACCTGCAGTTTTAAAGAAAGGCTCCTTTGATCCTGAGGTGTGGAAAATGGAAAACTCACATTCCTTCAGGCAAATACCCAAATGTTTTGGCACAGTTTGACGCCTTATGAAATACATCACTTGGTTCTCAAATCTTCCATTGAGCAAGACTTTAAAAGTCTGATATATTAATTGCACATGGGTGGACAACCCTAACCACCCACACACAATAAAATAGAAGGAGCCTGTGTACTGGGTTGTGTATAAACATGCGCTGGAATCACTAAGAGGTCTGAATTCCCACTCATGGCCATATCAATATCTGTCTTGGCTTGTATATTCTTCCCAGGTATACATGGTGTCCGAGAATGTTTTTTAGCTATTTCATGTGCCATTCTTTTAGCACCGTTGATGTCCTCAATGTGAGGCCCTCCATCATATGAATGGGAACAAGCTACTGTGCATCAATTCTTCCTGGAATGCAGCCAGATAACATCCTCCCATGCAGAATAACTCAATTAATGACACGCTGCAACAGCATAATTGGCATCACATTTGTGCTCCATTCGGGACTGCAAAAATAAAAGCAATATATCAATAATTGTGATAAATGTTATCTCAGAAAAATATGCAGTAGTATTTTATCAGATGTAACAGGATCATTAGAGTGAATAAACATTTGTTCACCAAGTAATTGCTTGTTCTTCTTCAAAATAACAATCTGGAGAGGTAAGAAGTTGGAAAAATACAAGATACAATGATAAAAGTAGAAAACTATCAGAGACGCACAATGAACATACATGCATTCAAACAGTACCTCCCAGCTCAATGGAAACCAGTATGAATTTGCTGATGAGACCAAGATTTCTCTCATTATTTCTCAATCCAAACAGTGTCTTACCACAAATTTCAATTTTAGGTATGGAATTAGTTTTAGGTATGGTAAAGAGGCTTTACTTATCCAACTCTGGGAAGCAGCTATTACTAAACAGATCTAAACACTTGTTTTCCAAGAAACAACGTTTATTTCAAGGAGCTAAAATCAATCCAATGTGCTACTCTATTAACTGCATTCACTTTGTCAAATCTACTGTGTTAACTCATAAGGACAGATAAAATATGCCACAAAGTCCCTAAGCAGCTGACTGCCAGCAACAGTTGACATTCACCTGTGAGAATCACAGAATCAGTTCAGGTTGGAATGGACCACTGGAGGTTCCCCACGTCCCCACCCCACCACCAGACATGGCCAGTTTAGAACAGATCCATTTGTTAATGTCTCCAATAATGTCTCAGGGCAACTTGTTCCAATGCTTGACTACTCTCATTGTGAAATCTGTTTTCCTCACATATAATTGGAATTTCTTTTGTTGTAATTTGCACTGTTCTCCATCTTCCTTTCGCTGTGCACCTCCAAGAAGAGTCTGGCTCTTGTACTCTCTATGCCCCTATAAAGTAGCTGAAGACAACAAGGAGATGTTGCCTCATTTCATCTCAATCTTTCCTAGTTATGACATGCGCTTCATCCCTCTAAACATCTTGGTGGTCCTTTGCTGTATTTCACCCATTATTTCAGAGATTTTCTTGTGCTGGGGAGCCCAGAACTGTACATGGACCCTCATAAGTGCTGAACAGGGGGAAACAATGATGGTTTTCACTTGATAATTACCTTCTTACTAGTACAGCCCAGTGTGCAGAGCTGGACTTGTTCAGTATAGGGGCAAAGCATTGACTCATGTTCAACTTGTCCACCAGGAGAACAGTCCTATTCTCAACCTGCGGGTGAATGTTCTTGAAGACAGCACTCTGACCTAGATGAACCTTTGGCCTACCTCAGTATGACAGGTCTCAGGTTGTCAGACCAGCTCTGTATGAAGACTACCAGGGCAAACAAGCCTCTGCAAGTCTTGACAGAAAGGCACCTCAGATGAAGCATTTTTTCAGTCAAACAATGACTATTTTCCCCAGTTGGCTAATGTGAATTCTACCCATTCTTAAAGCTAGGCATATGGATACATAGGTACTTCAATATACTTTTAAACTGGAGTTGCAAAAAACGCTTTGTGGCATTGTTTTTTTCCAAATTTCATTTTGAGATTTTGCACGAGTATTACCTCACAGAAAATGAAACAGGCTGATGCTTTCTGTGTATGTAATTTTATTTCTCAAAGCTTCAAGACAGCTTTGATATTTCAAAATGCAAAAATCTGCAGAACTTTATCTGACACCCTGCTGTGCCCTGCTTGTAGTGAGCTCCTATTTGTGCACCCTGCAATATGTCAGAGCTTCTCATCAGAACTGTATCCTTCCTACTTGAGTGGTCTGAGAAAGCCCTACAAAGCTTAAGGTCCACTGCTCAGAAAATTAATCTTAATTTGATTCAAAAGCCATAATCAAAACACCTAAACATTACCAGAAGGAAAACATTCGCACCATGACTTTCCTGCTATGGGGCATAGAATAAGTATCAGGAATCCTTTGAACATGAGGTAATTTTCAACTTCTAAAAAAAAATATGATCCAAAATCTACCTTCCTCATTAGCCCCTTCCAACCTCCAAAAGTCCTCTCTTCCTTTCTACACTAGTGTTCAGAAAATCTTCCCATATCAACTCAGAAGACTGCAAACAGATATTTATATTCTTCCATTTGAAGGATGGGATGGATGCAGAGATTGCATCAGACAGTACACTGTATAGCACCATATTAGGCAAGAGAGTGTAACCAAAGTGACAGATTTCCTCATACCAGCGTCAAGGAACCTGCGTGTTCTGTCAAGCTGCAGTTTTATAATTTCAAGATATCCTCAAGTGTCTTGTTTGCTCAGAACTATTCAGACTAGGAGTACTTTCTGGGTTGTTTCAGGTTTTGATCTTGTTGCCTAATGTCAGTAATTGCCCATCAATCAACAAACATGTCCTAAATATTCTCCATCAGTTTATACACGCTCTATGCCAGGCTCTTCAAAATGGTTTTGCGCTTCCCAGAACAAAAATTTCACTGACATCCCAAAGCAGCAGAATCCAGACCAACCCAAATTTTAATCACAGCTTCTCTTTTGTGATCTCCACCTCACAGGAATATGCATATATTCAAGTTAAGAACAAAGAAAAATTTAAAATTAAATCATTGAAGTAAGGGCATTTGGAAAAAAAAAAATCTACAAGCCTCTATCTACCTCAAACCAGATATTTACCTATTCTGGAACTGGAATTTGATGGCAACTACTTACTTTTTTTTTTTTTTTTTTTTTTTTTTTTCCTTCCCATTAAGCAATGAGAAATTAACCATTTATGTATTACCTACATTCTTTAAAAGGAAGATGATCCATACCCCTCTTGGGATGGGTCAGTGGGGCCCGAGGCCTACTTGACCTATTACAACCTTTTCTTCAAGAACTTTCAGTCCTTCTGTCTTAGTGAAATTAGCATAGATGACCCTAACTCCTGCATGGGGAAGTCCCACAGGCTATCTTGCAGTGCAGGGAAGGTGATCACTGAAATGCTGTGAATTGTAATGGTGTGCAGGGCTATTTCATATTGACACAATTTGCACATCTACATTGTCAATCACTGAAGAGAAGGCAATTATGGAAGGATGGGTTCAAACAAAACTATAGGCTCAAAACTCCACATTACTTTAAACTTTATGAAAATTAAGACTTGGATGTGAGTTTCCCATTGTGACTCTACCTCTGGTCTGTATTATAAAAGTAAGAAAATTATGCCTGTTGATTAAGTCACTAACACACAGGTATGTTGGATTTGTTTAAAGAATCCCACATGATATGACACCTATTGTGCTGGAAATAGCAACAAAGGAAAAGACGGGCAAGCACAGGGATCTTCTTTATATTTCCATGACAGCAAACTAGGCAGTAACTCAGCAGGATGCACAATGGCTGTGAACTCCTCGCTTCTCTTTGCTAGGCAGTGCAATGCAGTAGCATTGCTCCTTCTGTCACAAAGCTTTGTTTCTGATCTCTAAACAGGTGGAACTTTAAAGGCAGAAGAACACTGAAAGACTGGGGAATCTTCTGGGCTGTGTGTGAAGATGAAGGCGTTCATGTGAAACACAGACTTTTCCAAGCGGCAACTACTACCACAGAGCAGTCTGAAAAGGCTCAGTGCATGGCCATACTAACCAGCACCGCTTCTATCCACAGCTAGTGACAAGGGTCTCCAAAATTTCAAGAGAATACGAATTAAGCATTTTAGCTCTACAGGTGTGAATCTTTTGGCATGTACCCGTAAGAATGATCTTTTTTTCCCTGGGAAAAGCTCTAAGGGTCAATATGGCAATAACAGAACAGCAATAAGTAACCACCTTACTGAGTCACTCCTTGAACTCGTTAATGGAGATGAAACAGTTAATTAGGCAAGGGGATTATCCAAAGTACAATACCTCTCCTTTATCAACACAATGCATGCTGTGACGCTCATCTTTGCCCTGTACTTATGACCTTCATGTTGCAGAGAAGACATTCTTATTGATACTACCCATGGGCAACACCTTCTTCTAATTATCTTCTCTACAAGGGGGATTTCATCATCAGGGTTCCTGCTCTTTGTGTGTGCGTGTATATATATCAGCTCTTGCAGATACACAAACACACATTTAAGCTAAGTGTACTGGAATACTTAGAGCACAGATTGCTGTGAAACAGGTCAAGAACCCGTGCCCACCATGAAGATAACAGGCGCCTTTTTGCTCCTCACACTGGCAGTTCTTTGCTTAGCAAGTGAGTACCCTTTTTTATTTCCTGGTATGTTATGGTTCTAATGTTCAAACACTGCAAGCTTCTCAGTCTACTGGGATAGTAGGCAATGATTGCTGCACTTGGATGGCAGAAAGCAAGTGAAATGTTATGCTTGTGCACTATTTAGCAAGCAATATTGCACCAGCTTCACAGCTGCCAACTTGAGTAGATGAAACCTATTCCTTGATGGTGGTGTGAATCAGAGCCTTATTCTGCAGTGTAACTAAAAGGTGAACTGTAAAGCCTCAGAACTAAAGCAGATTTTTACCGACTTTTTTTTTTTTTTCTATTGGAGCAGGGAGCTTGGAGGTGATGAGGTCCTTCTCCTGCCAAACTGAGAAAGCAGGAGACATTGATTTTGCACAGGCTATATAACATGGCTGTGAATGACCTCTTTATAATGTTAGTTTGCAAGGCTCAAGAGAGCTTTGAGGCACTGGTTGCTATATGATAAATAGAGAGCTGGGAGGAATTCTTGAGCCTTCACTTGGTAATTATTTTTAACAAAAACTTGCAATAAAAAAAAATATATATATAGAAAAATAAGTAGATTTAGAATAACTGAGAGTCCAAATCTTCTCTGCTAGTAGTATACTAGTTCAATAGCATTAAGAATGTTAAAAAAAGCAAAACAATGATAATGTTAAAACAAAACCAAAATTATGAAACAAATGAATCTTTTCTCATTTTGAATAGCTCTGAAAAGTTTGCTTTGAAAATAGTCTCAAAATCAAAATTCTTATGAAAAATGTCAGTTTCAATGAAATGCCATGAAAACTGTTCCTTCAAACAGTGTTTCATTAACTGCAGAAGAAGAAATAAATATTTATGTTCATAAGGATTCCAGCAGATTCCTTCCTTGGACTTCCTAGTCTGTCTTGTCTGCATTAAAAATTTATGGATCAATATTTTTTAAGCCACATCTTTTTTGTATTCACTCCCAAATACCTAGTGGCTACTAATAGGTTACCAGAGAAAAAAATAACATCTTAATGTTTTTGTGGAGGTAGGTTCAATTTGATCCAATTCCAGCATAATGAAAACTCTGTCAAATTTCTGGTGATAGAAATTGAAACTTAACATGGAACACTATTTATGCTTTTCTTTACCTTGGACAGCTTCATTTCATGAAAAGATATAAGCAGCTCCATGAAAGGAATTTTCAGTAGAAAGCTTAATAGATTTAAAGATCACAAAAAGCTACATTTGGTCAGGAAGACAAGTTCTAGAGCTGTATTGCCTTTTATAACATTACATTTATAACAATACATTTTCTTCCTGCTCCTTCTGTACAGAAGCCTCTGCCTGATAACTTTTATCCCTTGGAAGCCACAGAATGACGATTACAGGACAGAAGAACAAAATACATTCCTAAAGAAAGTAACAAATGTGTCACCATAATGGAGACATGCCAATGTTACTTGATTACTTTCTGGGAGGCGTAATTATCACTGTTTTGAAGGAGCTTTTTGAAGCCCCACCTGAGAACAGGGCTCCATTATATTAGATGCCATGTGTATACAAAATAGGAGTCAACTCTTCTGCCAAATAGTTTAGAATCTGTATTGACTGGCAGGGGAAAACACTTTTTTAGGTGGCATTATGATCCAAATTGCATTATCATTATTATATACAGTATTATATTTTAATGAAGATATTATCCATGTTATTGACAGAAAATCAAGGTATAAATGCACCATGTTGTTTGCTTATAGACACATATGATTTTTTAAAAAATAAACTTAGGAATTAAAACCCAGTCATGCTCAACAACTAGTTCATCCTAACAGCCGGGTCATTGAACATAATATTGTCTCCTGGGTCTTCAATCTTTTTTCTGGTGAAAAGAGGAACAAGAGCCTCCCTTCCCTCCCACAACAGAGGCCATTCTAGTTGCTGACACAGATTTCTAAGGTAAACAATACAATAAGGTCTGCTTGTTTAATAGGTTCTGACACCTGTATCTTATTAAACACTGAAAACCAATGTCAGTACTTACTTTCAAGGAGGTAAGAGACTTGGTGTTGCTGGAAGAGCTGGTACTAATGAAAACATCCCAGTTGCAAACTGAATATCAACAGTGTTTTTTATTTTATCTTTTGTGATTCTGTTTATATTGCAGATGCTGCCAAAGAGAATGAGGTGAGTAATTTTCTCCTTTATTTCTGGATCAAAATACATAGTTTGTAACAACATGAGGTCCATGAAGACACAAAAACTATATTAAACATTAATGGAATTCTGCCAAAATATTGAGATTTCTGAGAGAAATCCCTGAGTTTGAGATATGTGATTTCCATACGGTTGTCCTGACAACTACTAGATGTTTTTACCTGTAATGCATTCTGGGCAAGAAATTGGGCAAGGTCAACTTTTAAGACAGATAAATCAAGATTTTAAAAATATTTTTCTGGTGATGACATGTAAGGCTTTCTTGGTGACTTTCAGATCCTAAATCATATACCTAGAGACTTTAATTTCTCTCTGACTATCCTAGGGTCAGCCTCTGAAAGAAATGAGACACCAAGCAATAAAAATCCTTACTTAGATGAGTAGAGAAGCCCTTTTGGAGTCCACTGGACAGTAGCAGGGAGTGGAAATTCACACACACACACACAGAACTGGTCCCATACTGGCACGACATATACAGCCTCTGATGCCTAAAGGTACACCAAGACATACATACTTTTCCAGGAAAAGCTTGCTCCACTCTTCACACCAAACTATCTTCCCCATTTTACCAGCTGTCATACATATATGGGGCAAATTCACCTAGTTTCTAGCTTTTTTTATTAGCTGGCCCTTTCTTCTCACAAGTTGGTGGTTGACCAGTTTTAAAATGGTAAGTTACGAGTCACAAAGATTCCCTCCCGTGCCACTGCCTGTGCTGGGTTTTGTTGTGGATACCTGTCAGCTATGTCAGGTCCCTGACCTGTTTTTGCCACGGGGCTTGCTGTGCTGCCTCCTGCTTTCCAGCCACAGAGTTCGAAATGTGTGAACAGCCAGAGCTTTGGAGGACAGAGAAAGGACTAAATGAAGGGAAAACCTAGGTAAACTAACATCTCATATGCTTTTTTTTGTTGTTGTTTTGTTTAATGTGACACCAGATTTAAGCCTGTAATACCCAAAAGAGTGGTTGACTAATGACTCTTTTTGTCAGTGGAGACCTCTCAAGCCTGTGCTGAGCCATGGCTGCAGGAGCGTCTGACCATGCACAGCTCCTCACTTCACCCACCTGCAAACCCTGGGCAATGACTAGCATAAAACCAATCATGTAATCTGTAATAAATTCTAGGGTTTGGCTGAAGTAGTACTCCTGTTCTTCACTAAGGGTTGGAATGAAGGGGGAAAAATCAGGCCATAACAATAGAACAGCAAGATTGGGTTCTGTTTTAAATATATACATTTATAATACATATTCTGGCTAGATCTTCAGAAAGGAAAAGCTCCAGTCACAGTGTCCCTCCAAAGACTAATATGCTTCAGATTGCCACTAGACTAGCAGCAAAAAGAGCTGAACCAATTTTAGTTACAGCAGCACCTATAAGGACAGGTGATTTCCTAGGCAAGCAAATGCCAGGCTTTTGAGGATGACAATCAGCACATTAAATAGAATATGTGCACTGTACAAGGAGCTCCTTGCTTGTCAAATACCAGGAATGACATTCATTTGACAGGAGAAGATTGAGCTCCAACATCAGAACAGGAGCACTTTCAGTCATTTCTTTTATGAGTTTGTACTCCCATTTTTATATATGTCTGTAATGAATACAGTCCCACTACCAGATGAAGGCCTTTTAATAATTTCTTTTCATGCTAATACTTAAATAGGACTTGACTTAATTCCACCTGGGCAGATCCTTCCACCAGTGTAAAAAGATTCAAGAGCTGATACTTGTGCAATAAAGGGACAGAAACCCTTCATACCCTTGAGAACTAATCTTAGCTGAATTTACTGACAATTGCAATTGGGTAGAAGAAATATTAGGACTCATCTTTTCTGTAGATGGAAAAGCAGCTGTATTATTCCAGTGACTGTGTTCTTATTCAGATAGCGAAGTCCGTGAAGGTGCTCAGTACCTGACAGGGGTAGCATCACACACATTTTTTAAGGCTTAGGCTCAGCTAATATAGATGGTGGAGCCCCATTGACTGTGCTGCTCTAGAGCACCTGACAAGCTTGTCCAAAAACTTCATATATTTGTAATTTCTGTAGATGAATGGAGAATGTGAAAAAAAATGGATTCAAAGAAAAATTATACTCTATTTTCAGGTAGACTGTAGTGAATACAAGAGCTTAGAGAGAGGAAGACCCATTTACTGTGAAAGACTCTATCAACCTTTTTGCGGCTCCGATGGGAAAACATATAACAACAAATGTTCTTTCTGCAAAGCAGTTCTGTAAGTACAATACTATGTGATTACTCCTGGTTAAGCCAAAATCTGAGGTTAGCTGAGTTACCTGGTATTTTCAGTCCACCTAAGTGCTATAATTTTTTTCAGGGTCACCATTCCTCTGCTTCTTTGCTTAATCTTTATAGAATGATTGCCTCTCCCACCAATAAGGTCCAATTGATCTAAACAAATGACCTTGATATTTGTGTGAGCAACTTCCTATTCTAGCAGAAACTGTAGAAGACAGACAGTAAAGAGAAGAGTCCAATGAACAACACAGGGCTAACAAGGCATCTGGACCCAAATCAGGTCATATGAAAATTCAAAAGTGGTACTGGAAATACCTTGCTTTTATGGATAAAATACATAAATTTTAAAAGAATATTGTTTACAGATCAGTGCCTTCTTGTCTGCTGCAAATGTTTATAGTGTCTTCTCTGTTAGCAAGTTGTTGGCTGAAGACTTCAGAGAGATTTTCATTCATAATGTTAAATTTACTCTCTGCAATGTCTATGTCCTTCCTTTCCTTTGCAGGCGAAGTAGAGGTGCCTTACATATGAAGCAAGCAGGGGCATGCTGAATGAATTTGCGTGACACAGGAGAGTGCTGAGAACAGCTTTACACTGCCTTATCACAATCTCTTCATTTAATTTCATTCATCCTGCCTGTTCTGCCGATGGCAAACAAAGCACAAAGTAGGCTTTTCAGCTGTGCTCTGTCATTTGCTGCTTCTCTGTGCTCCAGGGTGTTGGGACTGATGCTTCTGTCCCCCCTGCAAAGCTCTTCCTCGGGATTCTCAGGAGCATTCCTCTTTCTGTAGCAAGTTGTTTTTCACACGAGCCTTTCATTATATATTTGTCTCCACAGTTAAAGTTCAAATATTCTGACAATGCCACCTGATTTTACTGGACACGTCAGTGCAGGCATTGCCTCTGCTTTCCTTGTTGGTGAAGCATCTGCTTTCATTTACCCAGAAACTTTTGCAGATGCTTCTTTTCAAAGGCTTCAGCTTTCCTAGGCAGTGCTTTGACTCTTTCTGTTTTGTAGTTAAATTTTAAATTCTCATTTTTCTTCTAACTTTGTACTATTCTGATTCATATATGTTGTTTAGATACTTAATTTGCATGTTTATTAAAATAAACGTTGACTCATTTTTTTGTCCATTGTGATCTTTCTAGAGAATAAGTTTACTGCATCCCTTTTCACAAAGATCTTTCCCAGGGTACAGAAAATAATCATAGAGCAGGAGGTAGGGCCAGAAGTAAAAAAACAAAGCCTGGAAGACAAATGTTGTAACACTGATAATATGCACTAGATGGCCTCATGTTACTGGAATTTACCCTACAATCTGGCTCTTTTTTTTCCTTCAAATGAAGTAACTCTAATAAACTGTAAGACCGTATAAGCTTCATAGCAGTGTCTCTGTTAAATCCTGTCATTTAAATGTGAACATTAATGATTCTGTTCACATCTGATAAATTGGCTGCTTTCAGACCTGAGAAAATTTCTGTTCTGCTCTTACATCTTTATTATCTTCATTATTAAGCTAGTTTATGTCTTTTACACTTGAATAGTCAGTCAAGGGAATATATCTACCCTGAATTAAAGTTTATGAATGATTGAGTTTACTGGTCTTACATATGAAGAAAATTTTGAAACTGGAATATGGGTATCATTTTTGATAATTTCTGTCTGGTAGTCTAGTTGAGCTACGATAAGACTCATACTTCAGAAGAATGGAAAATGAGGAAAGAAGCTCATGTCCTTGCCTTTGAAGGCACGACACCGAAAAGCCTAGCCATTACACTGCTGGCTGTAGCACCAGGCAGACTGCATTCTTCAAAGGAAGCACCAAGAGGCTTTGTTGATCTACGGTGTTAGTATGTGCTCTTTCTCCTAGCAGAGCTGAGAACATCGATCTCATGCCCTGTTACAGGAGAAGAGGCTGTTGGACTTCATGTGACCTGATTAAAAACCAAAGAGAGAGTCTTTCACAGGCTACTTCTTTGCCAAGGAATTAAACAGTGCCAGGACACAGCTGCAAGCACTAGAACCCCATCATCCTTACTTTGAAATTGTTAGCATGGCCCTGGCATGATCCTGTCTTGGATCAAAATTCTTCCCAACAGTTCTCAGGCACATCTTGCGCAGCTAGAGTATTCCTTTTAGAAGCTAAAATAATTTCATAGCAGAAATGTGACGAGACTCAACTAGTTGACCTCTAGGTGACTAGGCTCAACTAGCTGGCCTCTGGATGTGAGAGGTTCTGTTTAATTTGTGAGTACACACTGATGTAACCCTAGTCTCTGGTTTGATTTATAATGTGAACTGGCTGAACTATTTTTACACTAATTGCCTATTACACTCAGTACATCTGGAGCATCTGGAAGAATGATAGAGCTGAAAACAACAAAAAATGAAAGGAAAAATTGAGGATTAATTAAATGCTAGATTAAGTATGTAAATGGAGTGCTATTTTCCTACCAAGCAAACACCATAAAAAGTAACTACTCTGCATTTCTATGTCAAATAATACTAAATAATGATTGTAAATAACAAGTGACTTCTTTTTCCTGACTGTACAGTTCCCTAATGCATTGCATATCTTGGTACAGCAGTAGCTACCGAATGTTACGTAAATTGTGGCCAGATGGATTTCTTAACATTATTATATGCTGTTCCCAGGCACTGGTGTGTCACATGAAACCACAGGCAGCAGAACAGGAGCCTAGGGACTGTTTTTTAGGACGGAGAGGGATTTATTTCCCACTGTGGGAGGCTTCAGACTCCTTTCTAAGGAACACGTGCTCTTAGTGTATTAAAAATCTACTCAACACTGGATCATTCAAAGGCCACTGAAACTGATGGGAGGCTACCTGTGACCTTGGCTTTAATTCTCATCTGTCAGAAAGAAGAAAATGAGCATGTTGTTTTCTAGGTGATGCATAAGCAGAAGACACTCACTTTGATGTTCTATTGAGGTTATCAGTTTAGAACAATGGTTTTAGCCAGGTGCTGGGACGAAATTGGAAACTTAAACAAAGAGATTAACGAAGATGTATGAAGAGTTTCTGCATAGACTACAGCACCCTTCTCTTTGCAACTGAAGTCAGGGTTAATTAGCATCTTCATGTGTCAAAGGACTAACTACTGCTCTGAATGCCGGGTCACACAAGTATGTGAGGAACACAAAGCTCCTAGAGCAAGGAGTGTGGTTACTCTCTTCATGGTACCTCACAGACTGTGTTTCTGCTTGGTATATTTCTCTCAATAAATTCAGACTTTATGTATGGTGTGGGTGGGGAGAAGAGGTGGAAAGGCTCATCTTCAGGGGCCATGTTATTCACGAAACAGAAAAAGCACAGTTCATTATGAGCAAACCATAGTTCCTACAATGCCAACTTACCAATGCTATTTCAGTAAAGCTGGCAAAATAAATCATTTACATTCACCTTTGCACTTTGTTATCAAAGGCTTAGTTAATAAAGGCCATTTCCATGAAACCAAATGTTCATTTCATTAAAAAGAGAGTCTCAACAGACAGTAAGCAGGTTTCTATCTCACATATTTCTTTACTTAGTCCCTCCATCATTAATATTTTCTGGCTGTGGGAGGTTTATGTGTTGCTATGAACTATGTTCCAATGGATATGTTTAAAATAATTTTTTAATGAGACTGGCCCAACTGCTGAAGCAAGTTATCAGAATGACATATTTTCAGATGTAGTTTATACTTATGGTTGCTTTGGAAAACAGACCTCCCTTCCACATTAGTGAAGAATGGATGTGACAAATGACAGATGATGAAACTTGGAGTGTTCAAGCATTTTCAGATGGTGGCAGTAACACCACCATGAGCAGATGGGTGAATATCAAGCAGAATCAATGTACAATGTTTCAATGTGATACAGGAATCCACCAGAGATCAACACATACAGAGTAGAGTTTAACATCCCATAAGATCTCTTGAATTTTTTCATCTCTTCCTCTCCATTAGCCCCTACCTTGACCCCTAAAGGAGAAAGGAAGATAGCAGGTAGCTAGACAATACTGGAGATTAATACACCAAATGCTGAGAAGCAATGGAATTCAAGTCAAATAGGATTATTTTTTATGGAAGGTAAAATAAGTTATCATCACGAGGGAAGCTAAGGGTGAAATGTAACAAATACTACAAATCTTAGGAAAAATGAAAGGAAACCTTCAGGAGAAAAAACTCAGGGAAGATTTTAAACCAGGAAGAGCTTACAGGAAGAGCTCCAGGAGGAGCAGTTCCTTCTCCTCATTATCTTCTCAGGCTTAGTTCAGTGCACAAATCAGAGCACCATAATCTTTGCCGACTCCTAAGGATACATCTGTTAGCTGAAAAAATCTGTAGTGAAACACACATTGACCATACTGCCTTCTTTCTTTACCCATGATTGCTTGGTGGAGAAGATTCCATGTATTCAGTTAAACCATGTACTCAAGAATCCCACAGGCTGACTGAAACACTAATAAAGGGTTATGTGCAGATGGCATCTTTTTCTTTTCTCTGTAAAATAAAGAGGCTGGAAATCTTTGTAATTCTAACACAAATAAAGTCATGCAGACTTTTTTAGCTGTTTATATGGTTATCTTCCCACTCTCTTTCAACCCAGCATGAACTCTGCAAATAAATGATGGAGAACACTAGAATGGTGACATATATTATGAAAATACTTATGTAAACTGCTATTAAAGGGTTTTTTTCCCATTTTTCTTTGGCCAAAGATAGGAACATTACATATGATTGAAATACTTTCTAAAAATCTTTGAGAGTCTAGTGAAGTTGCCATGTTTTGAAGTTGCAGGTAAGACATCTGACTAGAAAAGCTTTGCAATGCATTTTTAGTTTCTTCTTTAGCTAGACTTCTCACGTTAGTACCGCAAGTATTAATTAGATATGTTGCTCATAAAGAGATAAATTGTAAATCTGTAGTAAGGTAATAAATTTTTGGTTAGAGCCACAAGTGCTCATGACCTCTGACACAAGAATAGCAAGACTTAAGGGTTGTGTTCATGGACTGGTGAAAGAGGCTGGTCAGATATCTATGACTATTATCTTTTGGATTAGGACATGTATAAAGCATGAGGATGTAGGCTGGTACTGCAACTAAAGATAAATCAGTGGCAGTAAAAAATTTGCCAGTATGAAATGTTACTGCTCATCAGCTAGAGTTGTTTCCTCTTAAAAGAGATAAGCTGAGGAAGGTAAGAAACCTAATTCTCTTAGTATCGAATGAGAGGAATTAATGGAGGATGCTGGCAGAAAATTCTTCTAGCTATCCTAGGACACAGACAAAAGGCATCAATATCATGAATTATGTTTATCTGGAAACCAGGTCCCAGCAATTAGGCAGTATGAATGCAAATGAACAAGATAATATTGCAAAAGTTTCTCATAGTTCAAAGGCTTGTGGCTCTGGACAGTCAGCCTAAAAAGTTTCTCACAACAGGTTGTCTTGCCCTGAATGTGTCTTTGCTAAGAAAGATCAAAATGAGAAAACAAAGATCAATTTGAGAAAACAAAGCCAAACTGATGTTTCATCATGATGTCAGAAAATCCAGCAGACAATTTGGAGATATTTTCTGCCTTCTACCTTGTCTTGTTATAGCCTAAGTGAGTATTCACACCATCTGATTTAGTATATTAAGATATTTAACTATGTTTGTGAACCATACCTGGTTTCCGAGGCGTCCTGTAAGTTAGAGGTCTAAAATAGTCTACCATAGACTCCTGCATCTACCACAGACCCCTGGGACTCTAATTTGTTTCTGATAATTTCTGACATGAAACAGTAGATGAGCAGCTGGAGAGCAATACTTTCCAACATGGAGTGTGTGTGCTTTTTATCAGCTCCTGCTAGCATCATGTGCTGGCCCATAGCTGCAGATAACGCTGGGAGGCATACCAGCTTTTGACACATACCAGAACAAAGAACATGATTTGCAAATTGCTGTAAATGACATCTGAAGAAAATGCTGAAATGGCTGGACAATCTGGACAGTCAAGTTTGTGTGATGGAACGTCACAGAAA